GACATCAACGCTCGTTGTCAACGCGCGCTTGCCATTACACAAACAATTTTTAAAAAATTTTTTAAACACGCCTCAGATAAAACAACAAATATACTAAAAAATCGCTCTCACATGAGAATTTTTTCTCCTACTTTTCTCCTACTTTGTGAAATGCGAAATTTGTTTGTGTAATAGTAACATTTGAAATTTTAAGAAATGTGTTGACGAAAATCAAAAAATTTTGATATTTCTTCAACCACGCTCGTGTTTTTGCATGTACAGTCGGATTTGGTCGGCATGCAAAATTTAATTTATTTTGAGGAGTAGAAGCGTAAACATCGTTTAAATGCACGCATGATTCGTCGTTAGCAAGCGATCCTTTGCAAATATGAATGAATTGTATCTTTTATTTTAAATATTTGTATTTTCTAAATAGGTAAAATTTTTTAATTTCCAAAACATGTTATTAAGAAGATTAAAATATTAATAACCTTGGGCTAAAAAAAAATAACTAAACATTAAGTTACAATGAAAATTTTGTTTTAAATATTAATTGCATTGTGCATTTACGGAAAATTTGTTATTAAAATATACCAAAAAAAAAAAATTAAATTATATAAAATATAATATATATAAAAATAAATATATAAATTGAAATCATAAAAATAAATATAAATATATATATTAAAATTATAAATTAAATGTAAAACATCATTTTTCGCAAGGAAATTACGCATAGCAGCCGCTGTCGACACTTCAGCGATTGCTTTAATACTGATGAGTGAACAAATTTTGCATTGTTTGCTGGAGGCGTGTTTAAAAATTGTTGGTAAATTTAATGTGTAATGGAGAGAGAAGACTTCGTGTGTTTGTCAACGCGCGTTGATGTCTAAAGGCCACTTAAGGCATTTAAGGCACCCTTCCTTGTAGATTTGGTCAATATAAATTCCTTTCTGATTTTCACTAATGGAATCAAATTTAAAGTTAAAATTTATCAATCAAAGCGCTATTCTTTAAATTTTTGAACTCAGTTAATTGTCGATATTGTTGGAGTTACTTATTTTAATTTATTTTACTTTATTTCAAAAACTATTTTCCTTACCTTAAAAAAAATATAAGTTGGAATGTTGACTAAATTGTATTCCATATTGAATAAGATATTGGTACTCTCTAATATAGAAAAAGAATCCGATTTATTAATTAATAAAATAGTAAATAAAAACCAAATTATACATACCTATTCGATCGGAGAAGTGAAAGTGTTTATAATAACATTTAAGACATTTAAGGCATTTAAGGCACCCTTCCTTGTAGATTTGGTCAATATAAATTCCTTTCTGATTTTCACTAATGGAATCAAATTTAAAGTTAAAATTTATCAATCAAAGCGCTATTCTTTAAATTTTTGAACTCAGTTAATTGTCGATATTGTTGGAGTTACTTATTTTAATTTATTTTACTTTATTTCAAAAACTATTTTCCTTACCTTAAAAAAAATATAAGTTGGAATGTTGACTAAATTGTATTCCAGATTGAAGATTGAATAAGATATTGGTACTCTCTAATATAGAAAAAGAATCCGATTTATTAATTAACAAAATAGTAAATAAAAACCAAATTATACATACCTATTCGATCGGAGAAGTGAAAGTGTTTATAATAACATTTAAGACATTTAAGGCATTTAAGGCACCCTTCCTTGTAGATTTGGTCAATATAAATTCTTTTCTGATTTTAACTAAGGGAATCAAATTTAAAGTTAAAATTTATCAATCAAGCGCTATTCTATAAATTTTTGAACTCAGTTAATTGTCGATATTGTTGAAGTTACTTATTTTAATTTATTTTATATTATCTCAAAAATTATTTTCCTTACCTTAAAAAAATATAAGTTGGAATGTTGACTAAATTGTATTCCAGATTGAAGATTGAATAAGATATTGGTACTCTCTAATATAGAAAAAGAATCCGATTTATTAATTAATAAAATAGTAAATAAAAACCAAATTATACATACCTATTCGATCGGAGAAGTGAAAGTGTTTATAATAACATTTAAGACATTTAAGGCATTTAAGGCACCCTTCCTTGTAGATTTGGTGAATATAAATTCCTTTCTGATTTTCACTAATGGAATCAAATTTAAAGTTAAAATTTATCAATCAAAGCGCTATTCTTTAAATTTTTGAACTCAGTTAATTGTCGATATTGTTGGAGTTACTTATTTTAATTTATTTTACTTTATTTCAAAAACTATTTTCCTTACCTTAAAAAAAATATAAGTTGGAATGTTGACTAAATTGTATTCCAGATTGAATAAGATATTGGTACTTTCTAATATAGAAAAAGAATCCGATTTATTAATTAATAAAATAGTAAATAAAAACCAAATTATACATACCTATTCGATCGGAGAAGTGAAAGTGTTTATAATAACATTTAAGACATTTAAGGCATTTAAGGCACCCTTCCTTGTAGATTTGGTCAATATAAATTCCTTTCTGATTTTCACTAATGGAATCAAATTTAAAGTTAAAATTTATCAATCAAAGCGCTATTCTTTAAATTTTTGAACTCAGTTAATTGTCGATATTGTTGGAGTTACTTATTTTAATTTATTTTACTTTATTTCAAAAACTATTTTCCTTACCTTAAAAAAAATATAAGTTGGAATGTTGACTAAATTGTACTCCAGATTGAATAGGATATTGGTACTCTCTAATATAGAAAAAGAATCCGATTTATTAATTAATAAAATAGTAAATAAAAACCAAATTATTCATACCTATTCGATCGGAGAAGTGAAAGTGTTTATAATAACATTTAAGACATTTAAGGCATTTAAGGCACCCTCCCTTGTAGATTTGGTCAATATAAATTCCTTTCTGATTTTCACTAATGGAATCAAATTTAAAGTTAAAATTTATCAATCAAAGCGCTATTCTTTAAATTTTTGAACTCAGTTAATTGTCGATATTGTTGGAGTTACTTATTTTAATTTATTTTACTTTATTTCAAAAACTATTTTCCTTACCTTAAAAAAATATAAGTTGGAATGTTGACTAAATTGTATTCCAGATTGAAGATTGAATAAGATATTGGTACTCTCTAATATAGAAAAAGAATCCGATTTATTAATTAATCAAATAGTAAATAAAAACCAAATTATACATACCTATTCGATCGGAGAAGTGACAGTTTTTATAATAACATTTAAGACATTTAAGGCATTTAAGGCACCCTTCCTTGTAGATTTGGTCAATATAAATTCCTTTCTGATTTTCACTAAGGGAATTAAATTTAAAGTTAAAATTTATCAATCAAAGCGCTATTCTTTAAATTTTTGAACTCAGTTAATTGTCGATATTGTTGGAGTTACTTATTTTAATTTATTTTACTTTATTTCAAAAATTATTTTCCTTACCTTAAAAAAATATAAGTTGGAATGTTGACTAAATTGTATTCCAGATTGAAGATTGAATAAGATATTGGTACTCTCTAATATAGAAAAAGAATCCGATTTATTAATTAATAAAATAGTAAATAAAAACCAAATTATACATACCTATTCGATCGGAGAAGTGAAAGTGTTTATAATAACATTTAAGACATTTAAGGCATTTAAGGCACCCTTCCTTGTAG